GCCTCCCAGAGTGCTAGGATTACAGGCGTGAGCCACTGCACCTGGCTGAATTATACGCTTTAAATGAGTAAATTGTATAGCATGTGAATTATATCTCAGTTAAGCTATTATTACTTTTTAAAGTCTTGAGATAGGCCCAGGGCTACTACCTTGTCTCAACGATGTTATCACAGACATAGGCTCTTCTATCTTCAAAAAATAGCTGCTTCAGCTCCAGGCATTGAGTATGAATTCCAAGCAAGAAGAAATAGGACGAGTTGAATGAGGCCAGTTAGTTACTGTACTCTTTTAATTAAGGAAGCAAAAGTTTTTCCACACCCTTATCCAGAGGACTTCTGGTTGCTTCTCATTGGCCAGGAGTTACATGGCAAACAGGGAGGCTGGGAAACTGAGTGCTTAGCTGGGTTTTTTGTATCCCTGTATAAAAGCTGACTCTGTTAGTAAAGAGGAAGGGGAGAAGGTCTTTTGGATAGTCAACTCACGTTGTCTGCAACATTAAGTATCCACTGTGTACCAGACAGTGTTGTTGTTTTTTTTCTTTTTGAGACAGGGTTTTGCTCTGTTGCCCAAGTTAGAGTACAGTGGCATCATCATAGCTCACTGCAACCTCAAACTCCTGGGCTCAAGCGATCCTCCTGCCTCAGCCTCCAAGTAGCACTAACCACAAACCACAGTTGGCTAATATTTTTATTTTTTTGTAGAAGCAGGGTCTTGCTATGTTGCCCAGACTGGTCTCAAACTCCTGGCCTGAAACGATCCTCCCACCTCGGCCTCCCAAAGTGCTAGGATTACAGGTGTGAGCTACCATGCCCGGCCTCAGTGTTCTAACTTAAGCAAGGATAGAGCAAAAATGAATGATTGAGAAGAGGAGGAGTCCCGTAGAAGACTTGAAGAAAATTTAAATATTCATTCAGCACAAAATTGTTAAGCTCCTACTGTACTTAGTGCTTGGGACAAAATGGAGATGAGATAGATGCATTATAATATAGTGAGGAAGACCAACAAATTAGACAGTTACGACATAAAGTATGCTGAGTCCTGTGGT